TCCAGCACTGTTATTTGTTAGCATTGCCTTACTGACTACTTGCAAACCACGGCTTAACCGAAATCAGCTTGGTCCCGGCTACTGGAAGGTGTGGCTGGGGTGGGTGGGGAGCTGAGAAGATACCTGGCCAAGACAGTGGACTCTTGTACTTCTTACTGCTGGGGTGAGGGGGTGCCATTTTTGAACACTTGAACTAGGGCCATTCAGTTGTGCGGTGGGAGGTGTAAATGGTCATCATTTGCAGCTGTTAAATTAACAATCACTCTGTTTATGGCTCTCCTAGAGACACTTCTGCTGACCTGTAAAAAGCACGGTGTCTTCTACTGCGCCTTGATCATGCCATCAGTAAATGCACCATCTTACACAATTTGTTGACATTAGCTAGGATTTTAGGTGCCTGTGAGTAGCTTCAGCACCCATATTTTCCTGTGAACACTATCTGCTTTCTGCTGTTGGAATTGGGATACAAATCAAGAGCTCTGTATACATGGTCCAGTTTCCAACAATGACAGTATTTATACCCCCTCGGGGACTGGAAATAGTAAACAGACAGTTGTGCCTATGAAGCATCCACTTGTCACAATTGGTTGGGTCAATTTACTCTGATTTCTCCTGAAGATGTTGACAGATTGCCTGGTGTTGTGAAAACTGCCACATAGACTCTGGACCCCTGCCCATCACGGCCAGTGAGAACCAGCTGGAGAACCTGATGAGCTCCTGGCTAGGATGGTGAACGCCTCTTTGGAGGAGGGTAGGGTGCCACCCGCTTGTAAAGGAGGTGATGTTCCACCCATTCCTTAAGAAGCCATCCATTGTGTAAGGAGGCTATGGACTAGTTTTAGTCCTGTCTATTTGTAGGGAAGTTGGCAAAATCTTCAGTGGCAGAGCTACTTCTGACATTCCTGAATGACTCATCCTTCCTTGACCCTTTTCAGTCTGGCTTTTGGCCTGAATTATGGGATGGAGGCAGTTTTAGTGGTCCAGTGGATAGTTCTGCAGATTGATAATCCTCTCTCTCAGTCTTGTTCAATCTCTCAGTGGTGTTCAACACTGTGAATTACACCATTTCCTCATAAACTGTTTGGAACAACTAGCCAGAATGTTTGAGCTGGCTTTTGATTTTCTCTGTCTCTCTCTCTCTCTCTCTCTCTCCTCTCTCTCTCTCTCTCATTACATTGATTACATAAAATTGCCACTGCTGAAGTGAACTTGGCCCTGCACAAGTGGGTATGTAGTGTCTCACAGAACTTCATATTATGACCAGTGCTTTTGAACATCTAAATGGATGTCCTGGAAGACATCATCCATAGCTTTGAAAAAGCATGTCACGGGTGTCATACCATGCTCTAGACCTGTTTGCCTCTAGCGCTCGAAAGCAGCAACATTTGTCTTAAACCAGTGCCTCGTGGGCAGTGGTTGGGGTGGATGAGGGCAAACAGGATCAGTCTGGATCCTAAATAATCAGAGGTGGTGCCGTTGGAAAATCCGTGGTTTTATTGGCGATCCGTGAGCTTGTGCTTTCCCTGTCTGAACAGGTTGAGAGCCCATATATTACTGAACATGACTGTGCTTTTTTGAGAAGCAGGAATCAGTGGTCACTGGGACTAGTTCTATAAAATGCAATCGCTGCAAAGCTCAGTTTCTACTGGGATGACCTTGCCAGTCAATCCACACCTGGGAAACTTCCAGTGCTTTGTGAGAGTGTGCTTGAAGAAGACCCAAGAGCTTTGACTGGAGCAAAACATTGTGATTTGCCTCCTAATGATTATTGGAAGGTGTGGAATTGTTCAGGCTGGCTGTTGGCAGTGTTCCCTCTAAGCTGAGTGAGTGTGAGCTAGCTCACAGTTTTTTAGCCTCCGGCTCACACATTTTTGTCTGAGCTCGGGAAGGAGGGCTCCAGAGCAAACCAGTTTATGTAGAAGCCAAATGGCTCGCTCACAAATTTAATGTCAGTAGCTCACAAAGTGGGATTTTTGCTGACAAGACTCCACAGCTTAGAGGGAACATTGGTTGTTGGGTTTTTTCTTTTTTCTTTTTGGTAGCAGTTGTGCTGTTCACCAGGTGCTCCTGACCCTTAGTGAGAGTGCTTGTGCTTAACGCTTTAAAGGCCTTCACAGCCAGAGAGCTGTGGTATCCCAGGTTGGGATGTGAGGAGGGAACACTTTTTGTTACCAAAAGGAGAGAAAGGCAGGACTGGGCAGCCAAGAGCACCTAAAGGGCAGGCAGGGCCAAAGACTGCCGGTATTAGCCTCCATGGGTGTAAAGGCTGTCTCAAGAGCAGAGACCTCCTTGGAAGTAAAGGCCTACTCACAGGGCTCTTTTTGTAGAAAAAGCCCAGCAGGAACTCATTAGCATTATAGGCCACACCCCTGACAGCACAGCTCATTTGTATATTAGGCCACACCCCCATGTTACCAGAAGTGTGGTCATCCAGCCACACCCACCTTTTGCTTCTTATTCTCTTTACCTTGTTTGCTGTCAAAACCCAGGGCTTTTTGCATGTTAGGCCACACACCCCTAATTGTAGCCAATCCGAATGAGTTTCTGCTGTTGGGTGTGGCCTATTATGCTAATGAGGTCCTGCTGGGCGTGGCCAACTTGGGAGCCAGCCGGAACTCCGTTCCTGTGCGTTCCTGCCCAGAAATAGCCCTGCCTACTCATGTGCAGGCCAAGAGAGCCAAGGAGAGAGTGTGGCAGGAAGAAAAGGCTAGAGCAGGAGGGGAGAGAGCCATCTGAGTGGGGAGCCAGACAACTGGCTAGGCTGGACCTCAGAGAGAGCAGACGGGACCAGGCACTCCCATTCTTGGCCTGGGTAGCCAAGGCAGATTCCTTGAGGTAAGGATACAGTGGCTGGAGGCAACAAGGGATGGATCCTTGGAGCAGGCTTTGACGGAGACAGGTGGACGCAGGAAGGGGTAGGCTGCCCTCCAGGCTGTAATCAGGCAGGCGAACCTAGAGCTCTGTTACTGCAGAAAGCTTGTGCAACAAGCCAGAGCCTTAACGCTCTACTTGGTGTCTGCCTTTTATTGTCCAGGTCTGGATCATGAGGAGATGCCTGGGTGGAGATGCAGCCCCTGGCCCAGGGAGCCTCACCGACCTACACGGAATCTATCTCTCTTAGTTAGTTCCCTTGCCAGATATGTGCTGTAAACCAGTCCCTCCTTCGTTTCCATTCTTTGCATGAGCTGTGATCTTCTGAAGCGGGATGCTGGGGTCTTGCAGCGGGGGCTCCGAGGGGCAGTGGCGTGTTCCGCCCCTTGAGTGGAGAGGTTCTGGCCATTTGGTTACTGCCAAGAAAGGCTGCACCCTGGCCTGGATAGCCCAGGCGTGCCCAATTTTGTCAGATCTTGGAAGCGAAGCAGGCTCATCCCTGGTTAGTGTTTGGGAAAAGTTCACGCATACATAGAACAAAGGAAAAATTTCCTGAAGCTGTAATAATTTTCTTCTTTATTCCATAGGTGAATTTAGGTGAAACCAGAAACTTACTGCATGTTTTATTAAGTCTGACTGCATTGAAATTAGTTTGTTCTGGAGCCATCCTTCCTGAGCTAAGACAAAAATGTGTGAGCCAGAGGCTAAAAAAACTGTGAGCTAGCTCACACTAACTCAGCTTAGAGGGAACCACTATGCAGAGGTAGGCAATGGCAAGCCACCTCTGAACGTCTTTTGTCTTGAAAACCCCATAGGGTCGCCGTAGGTTGATTGCAACTTGACTGGGGGGTGGGGTGCAAGACTTTGTGTGCATGTGTGGACTTACAGTCTTTCCACTCAGCGTGTACTATAAACTGGTAGATGCATTTTTGCTGATGGCTGGTTTTGTCTCAACATAAGCTGCATGTTTGCATTTAGGATATGTTATACATTACTTTGAACATATGGGAAATTTGTATAAAGGTTTATCAATAAATGGTGGCTTTGGGGGATGTAGAATGGTATAGTGTAGCCCGATCTAAGCTAAGCAGAGTTGGAACTTGGCTGGGAGACCACCAAGGAAGACTTTGCAGTGGAAGACAATGGCAAACCACCTCTACTTAATCATTTGCCTTGAAGACCCTGTGGAGTTGGCATAAGTCAGCTGCACTTTACATTTACATGGTGGCTGTCAATATATAGGACAGGTATAAGAAGACAGGTGGAAGGGAAGAAAATTGACCAAATTCCAGGGACTCTACTCACCTCAAACATACTATTTGTGTATGTAGATTTATTATTTATGGGTGTACTGGAAACCATAGAATTGAGAAACAAAATCAGGATATTTTCAAAGTAATGTTATTAGCAGCACATGCAGTGATTGCATATGGTTGGAAGGAGAACTCAAAATGGACTTTAGAAAAATGGAATGAATATTATACGAATATATACAATCGGACATATTGGAATGTTTAAAGCAAGATAAGATATGGACTGTAAAAATGAAGGAGATAAAAAAGAAATGGTCGGTATACTTTAAATGGGTTTGTAAAGGGGAAGCCAACAGGCGTATATTTGAAAAGTTGGAAAGAATGTGCTCGTGGTTGAAAATGTAATGTGAATAACATGATGGTGGCCACCTTAGGGGGGAGGGATAAAATATGGGAAAAGAAGTATCAAAAATTTGGAACTAAACTGCAATGTAATAAAAATATTGGGATACAATAAAAAATTATTAATTTTTTTTTAACTGTGTAAGATTTTTTTTGTATTTTGCAAAAGTTTAAATGTTTTGTGATCCATGGAACATTCACAGCTATATGGTCTTTCACAAAAAAAAGGATACAGCCATAAAAGACTACATAGATCCGTAGATACTTTCCACAATACCCTGTATCGGGTCAGTGATTCAGGTAGGGCGAGGAAGGAAGCTTTTCAGTTGCACAGAACTCTTCTTCAGGCTGGACCATTCTTGGGAGTATTTAGATTTCCCAGTCCCCGTGTAACCCAATCTAGGCAAGGGAACGTTAATTGTGTCTGCTCATTGACTCTTCACTTTGTGTTTCATTAGGTCTTCCTCACCTAAAATGACACAGCAAATGAGAGACTTACAGCTCACTCAGTCTAGGAAGCAGCCGGGACCCTCCTCCCCAAATGCCGCCAAGAGGCTGTACCGGAACCTGTCTGGGAAATTCCGCGTTAACTACATGTCCTTTGACGAGGGGAGCTTCACGGGGAGGAGTGAGAAGGAGAAGCTACGCAAGTCTTACCTTGTGAGTGCCATTCCCTGCCCTCTAGAATTCCTCTGCTGGCCCTCTTCCCTCTTCTAAGAACGGGACAAGAAGTGCAAGGAATGTGCATCCCTTCAGATTGAGTTGGGGGGGGTTGTTTAGATGTTGCTCTTCAACTCTTTCCGAGGTTCTCCCACTCGCTTACTCACAGCATTGGCTTGGATAAGGTGGGAAATAATTGGCCAGGCAGCACTATGGCAGGGAGCTTAGAGGGAACAGGAAAGGCAAGTATCGTTAAAGACTGATTTGAGAGGGAACCCCAAGAGCACAGGGGCTGTCTTCTCTAGCCACAGTATGGCAACTGCTTCAGATTCTGGCAGACTGTCTACCCCAAGAAATGTCTTATTTCGATTTGTTGAGCTAGGGGATTTACATGCCGCCCCTCCAGAGAACCTGCTTGAGGAGACTTACAAAAACGAAGCACAATAAAACCATAAAACAGCATGCAAATCATTAAAAATTAACATGCTATTTAAAAACCTAGCACAAAACATTTAAAGTAAAGGTAAAGGTTCCCTTGCTTGAAAGCCAGTCGAATCCGACTCTAGGGTTGCGGTGCTCATCTCCATTTCAAAGCCGAAGAGCCAGTGCTGGCATGACTAAACACCAAGGCGCATGGAACGCTGTTACCTTCCCACCAAAGTGATCCCTATTTATCTACTTGCAATTTCTTGCTTTCGAACTGCTAGGTTGGCAGGAGCTAGAACTAGAGACGGGAGCTCACTCCGTCTTGCGGCACCCGGGTCTCGAACTGCTGAACTACTGACCTTCCACAGCCTGCAGTTCAGCGTCTTAACCACTTGAGCAGCCTAAAAACTGAGGCCTATAAAACTGTTCTCAGGCTAGAAGCAGATTGTAACAACAATTTTTAAACAATGAAAAAACCTGGGCAAAAAACTGACCTTGGCCTGGCCCCTAAAAGAGTAGAGCAAGTGCTAGGTGAATCTCCAGGAGAAGGGCAGTCCACAGGTGAGGAGCCCCCATGGACAATGCCGTGTTTCTAGTTGCCATCCCAATAACCTTTGGAGATGTGGCCGGGGGGGGGGGGGGGGGGGACAGAGATCAAGGTTTGTGATCTTCACAGTGGACTGGCCAGTACTGCTGTGCCTTGGGCCTGGACCTGTAAGGGTTGCAACAGCTGGTCTGGCTTGCAGAAGGGCCAGGTGGACGGGTGCTGCACTGGGCAAGTCCAGTTTGCCAGACTTCTTTCTGCTACTGAGTTCTTGGTTCTGTTCCATAGAAAGGATTCAAGCAAATTTGTTCCTCAGTGTCCCTTTTAGGCGGCCTTGCTTGCTAATTTCATTCTCCCCCTCTTAAAATATGACAAGTTCAGTACCGCGCACATGGTGTAGCATTGTGATTGCGTTTTATTGTGGGAAACGATTCCCTTTGGGTGCACGTTGTGCTTTTAGAAGAATGGGAAGCAGCTGTTGGATGAGTGAGACTTTTAAGTGCTCGGTGTCCTTGGTCTCGAAGGCTCACAGCTTCGCAATTCATCAGGGCAGTCCTGACTGGCAAGTTAATAATGTGAGTCGAGCGGAATGACATGTCCGTGGCAGAAGAGATCAGGTGACTGGTTTGCAGTTCACCCGTGTTCACTGTGTGTTGTAAAAGGCAAATAATGGCTTAAGTTGCAGACAAGAAAGCCGTTGTGCAAGTGCTTAATTCGGCTGATCCACTCAACACACATTCATGAGGTCCTGCTTTGGACTTCTTAAATTTGGCCCGAGCAACTGAGTGGAGGAATGAAATGAGCCCGTAAAATGAGTCACCTGCTCTGCTCTTGCGGAATGCTGCAACCGCTTCTCTCCACAGTTCCAAGGCAACGCCGCCCTCTTTGAAGCCGTCGAGCTGCAGGACCTTGATAAGGTACAGGACTTGCTGAAGCAGTACAGCCTGGAGGAGCTGGACCTGAACACCCCAAACAGCGAGGGGCTCCTGCCCCTGGACATCGCCATCATGACCAACAACGCTCCCATCGCCAAGACACTGCTGCTGGCAGGGGCCAAGGAGAGTCCTCACTGTAAGTTGCCATTTGGTGGCCCTGTCTCATGACCCTTCCAAGCTTGCTCCATCTGTTTCTTTTTTTTTTGCAACTTGAGGAACTCTGGTCCTTGTGGTTTCCTGACAGCACGGGGACGGCAGATTCTGTTCAGTTTGCCTCTCCTCCATTTTATCCTCCCCACAAGCCTGCGAGATAGCTTTGGAAAAAGTGCAGAAAAGGGCAACTCGAATGATAAAGGGGTTGGAACACTTTCCCTATGAGGAAAGGTTAAGGCGCTTAGGGCTCTTTAGCTTGGAGAAACGACGACTGAGGGGTGACATGATTGAGGTTTATAAGATTATGCATGGGAAAGAGCAGGTAGAGAAAGAGGTACTTTTCTTCCTTTCTCACTCGTGGGCACTCCATGAAATTGCTGAGCGGTCAGGTTAGAACGGATAAGAGGAAGTCCTTCTTCACCCAAAGAGGGATTAACACATGGAATTCACTGCCACAGGAAGTGGTGGCGGCTACAAGCATGGACGGCTTCAAAAGGGAATTAGATAAGCATATGGAGCAGAGGTCCATCAGTGGCTATTAGCCACAAGGTATAGATAGGGGCTCTGGGGCAAGTGATGCTTTGTCATCTTGGTGCTTGGGGGGGGGGGGTCAACAGTGGGAGGGCTTCTAATGTCCTGGCCCCACTGGTGGACCTCCTGATGGCACTGGTATTTCTGGCCACTGTGTGACACAGAATGTGGGACTGGATGGGCCTCTGGCCTGATCCAACATTGGCATCTCTTATGTTCTTATGAGATAGGTTAGGCTGAGAGAGTGTGACTGGCCCAAGGTCACCCAGCGAGCTTCCATGTGGCAGAATGGGGATTTGGACCCACGTCTCCCGGAGCCTTTTCTGACACTCTAACCACTACACCACACTGGCTCTTTATTTGTTTATTTTTAAGTATCCTCCTTTCCTCCCCAATGAGGACCCAAAATGGCTTATGATGGAAAAAATTGGAATACAGTAGAGAAACGGGTTGGGGTGTGTGTGAACACAAAGCATCTCCCTCTCTCTCCCTCTCTCTCCCTCTCTCTCTCTCCCTCTCTCTGAGTCTCTCTAGTAACAGATCTTCCTTGAGGCTCTTGATTTCTGTAGGATCTGACCCTCAGTCATTCCAATAAATAGGACAGTTGGACTCCCATTCTAGCTGTATCTGAGCAAGTGCACAGTGACTCACAAAAGCTCCTACTCTACCACATATTTTGTTAGTCTCTAAGGTGTTACTGGACTCTTGCTCTTTTCTACTGCCTCAGCCTAAAGGTTGAATGGAAAGAGCTCTTTGGCTGTTGTCCTTTGGCTCATGCCTCTGGTCACACCCAGCCTTTAAGTACCTGTAATACCACATATTTTGTTAGTCTCTAAGGTGTTCAGTCGAATCCAACTCTAGGGTTGCGGTGCTCATCTCCGTTTCCAAGCCGAAGCGCCAGCGCTGTCCGAAGATGTTTTCGTGGTCATGTGGCCGGCATGACTAAACACCATGGCGCACGGAACGCTGTTACCTTCCCACCGAAGTGGTCCCTATTTATCTACTTGCAATTTCTTGCTTTCGAACTGCTAGGTTGGCAGGAGTAAGTACCTGTAGCAGAGGATAAACAAACTCAGCCAGACCTTATTGAGCTGCTGCTGGCCAGCTAGCAGGGACTTCTCCATTTCCTCCCCTGCTTCCCGAAAGCTTCTCCTATTGCTGTGACACTTTGATGTGAGAAGTCATACCTACCAAACTCTTCTCTACTGTGGAAGGGTTAGGGGTATGGGAGCGCTTTCTGGGCATGGAGGGGCTGAGTGTCTTGGAACAGATGAGATCCAACAGTGTAGCTTTCAGACCATGGTAGTATTAAAAAGCCCACTGTCAAGGTGAGTCACAGGAGCAGATTCCAGAGAAACTGCAGGTATCTGTCATCCTAACCATAGGTGACAATGGAAGGGGGAGGCACCGATGGAACCATAAGCAGAGATGATCCTACCCTCTTCTGCCTTTGCAGCCCTTAGTGGCATGTTCTAAGGAAGAGATTCTCTGAACTGCATATAGTGACAAGCAGGGCAGCAGAAGTGGGAATGAGTAGATTCTCTTGTGTTACTGGAATCCCCACGTCAAATGAATGACTGAATCACCTCAGAAGAGTGTCTTCCTGGAATAGCCCTGCTTGACTTGACTTGGCTTTTGCTGTCTGAAATGTTCAAACTTGTCTGATCAGGTGAAGAGAAATGTAAAGATGAAGAAGAGACTCCCATCTCACCTCTGGCGACCAGCTCAGAGCAGCAGGGTAATGTCTGGCTGCTAATTATTTGCAGATAGCACTTCTCATGAAGAAACGAATGGTTTCTTCGCGGCAGTGCCGGCATTCAGGTCAGAAGTAGAATGCCCCTTTCGTTCAGTGGAGACATTCCTGTGAATGGGAGAGCATAAGAGGGGAGTGACTTTGAATAAGTACTTATTAGCACTCTGTCCCACAAGCTTTCAGACACACACACTCTAAATAGGTTGTGCTGGATACAGCCACTGGGGTCTCTTGCTTGCTGGGTGGCCCACACAGCGAGTAGCCACAGGCCTAGCTGGCAGGGTGTGCAGTGAAAGGAGCTAGTGAACTTTGAGGGAGGAGTGTATGTCTTTGCCGTCTGGCCATAGGAGCCAGGGAAGCCCAGAGGTTCCACTGAACAGAGAGCAAGCTGTGCGTGTGTGCGTACGCGCATCTTCTCTTGTTCTGAACACTTGTTGGCTCAGGAGGGGCAAGTCTCTTATGCAGGCAACTTGCAAAAGTTGCACTTTAGCTATGGGTCGTGTGCTGCCGTATACATATGGGACTTTTCAAACGGCGACCAGTCAAGACAGACGGACAAACCTGGCCAATCGGTGTGGTCATGGGACTCTTTATGTCATGGGGATGCTCAGCTGTGGATGGCTGAGTTCCCTTACTGCTGCGGTTGCCCTCGCTGATACATGGCTGCCTGCCAAAGGCCACGAGCAGCAGGGCAAGCAGAGGCATGTGTCTGCAGTCAATGCAAAATGCTTATTTTGGTGCCGCTGACCAGCTTAATGGTGATGCTGGTAGTGGAGGGTAGGAAGGCTCCTCTGTCATTAGATACCAGGAGCAGGATGGGGATTGCCAAACAGCAGACCTTGTTTTCTGGGGTCTTCCTGAAAGGTATTATATTGTGCTGGAGGCAAAACGGCATAATGCAGTTTGGATGCTGACTGTAAGGTTCATTTTTGAACTGGCAGATGCCTTTTGATCCTTCCGGCAAAGATGTACTGGCCGTAGAGAGGACTTGGTCCCCTAGAGAGCTGCAGAATTCCTGAGGAGTGGGGACACTTTTGAAAATGTCTTAATCTGCAGTAAAGCCAAATCAGCCTTGCTGGCCTGCAGGAGCAATGGCGGGTCTAGCTCTGTGGCCTTTTATCCCACGCGTGGGGCAGGGACTGTATCAAAGTGTGCTCCTCGGGTCTGTGAGGTTTTTCTAGCGGATCTTCTCAGTAAAAAAGCATAAAGGATCCCTTCTGGGGGCCTTCAGCCAGGTCTGTTCCTAAGCATGCGTCTCCTTCCTCCTCTGTTCTTGTGCATCAGCTTAGCTGTGTTTTTTTTTCCTTCTCCCCCCCCCCTCCCCTTTCCCCAGTCGTGAGTCTGGAGAGCCGGGCACTGCACCTGTCCACACTGGTCCAGGAAGCCGAACAGCGGGTCAACGATCTCACTGCCCAGGTGGTGAACGAGGTGCCCAACGCAGACTGTTCGGAGAAAGAGAAGCAGCTGAAGTCCTGGGAATGGCGCTACCGGCTTTACAAACGCATGAGTGCCGGCTTTGAGCATGCCCGTGAGTCTCTGGCGGGGCACAGAAAACCCCCCCCCACCCTCCCCACCCAAGGGGATCAGAGGAAGGAATAAGGAGTGTGTTGACTGCAGGGGGGTCAGGATGGGAAGCCTTGTGATTGGGGGAAGTCCTGAAATAGAGAAGCAGCCTAAAAAACTCCTCGCTGGGGCCATGTTCACCCTCCTCGGGACCCCAAAGAAGTGATTCCAATGCCTGCCCCTTCTGCCTAGAATAGCTTCCCAGAATCTCGTCCTTCAACTCCCTCCTCAAAACCGGACTTTCGACACAACCCGGTAGTCCCCCGTTCCTCAATGAAACTAACCCTGAGTGATGAGTCATTGGACTGACAAGTAGGCCCTACTCCACAAAAGCTTATGCTAGAATAAAAATGGGTTGGTCCTGAAGATGCCTGCATGTTCTGGCTGTAACCGACTGGAACGGCTGCTCCTCTCATCCTTCCTTCCTTTTCGTTTTTTTTTATCCCTGCCTCCACCTCCCTGGCTTCACTTGGTTATGTCAAATCATAGATGGTCAGCTCCTCGGGACAGGGTTTTCTCGTGCTCAGTAGAGCAATAATCGTCATCATAATAAAAAATAGTGTGCTTGGTGTGCTTGCGTTAGTTCCTGTCAGGGCTCTTTTTTTGTAGAAAAAGCCCAGCAGGAACTCATTAGAATAATAGGCCACACCCAACAGCAGAAACCAATTGGCATATTAGGCCACACCCAACAGCACAGCTCGTTAGCCTATTAGGCCACACCCCATGCCTGCCTTGGCTTGCCCGGGCGCCCCGCAGCTGCAGGGAGCCCGGGCAAGCCGCCCCTTGAAGGGAAGGCAGCCTTCCCTTGGCTTGTCTGGGTGCCCTGCGACTGCGGGGCGCCCGGACAAGCCAGCCTTTAGACAGGCAAGGTAAGGCACGGGGTGGCATTTAAATGCCTCCCCAATCCTTCCAGGTCCCCCCTGGCCCGCCTGCCTCAGAATCGCCAGGGGGAGTCGCTCTCCAGGCCTTCCCTCTGTAGCCAGGCACGCAGAGGTTTTGGCTGGCTGTAGTGGGTGTGGCCAACTCTGAAGCCAGCCGGAACTCCGTTCCTGTGCGTTCCTGCCCAAAAATAGCCCTGCGGAAGAAGGTTTCCTAGAAGACAGTGCTGGGCCACAGAAGAGGGGTCAAAGTTTGCCATATCAGGAGTGTGCTGGTCTTTGACTGTAATAAGTAATTCAGTTCAATTCACCATGTCAAAGCATGTTAATAATTTTGGTGTTCAGTAGAATCAAACTCAGATGGCTCCAAGCACTAGTAGGCGAAAGCCACACTGCTCTGCCTTTAAGCCATGTAATCTTTTTTTAAAGGGAAAATCCTTCCTAACAGGCACAGGGAGTTCTTAAGCATGAAGGCTGACCCAGCTGCCGAGCCTCGCTGAAAGAAATGTTTTGGTGCAGCCAGTCTGCTCTTTCTGACTGTACAGCCCCATTTGCAGCCATGTCTAATGCTGCGGGGAAGTACAGAAAACGCAGTCTTTTATTCTGTCCTCTTTGTGCTGATTCAGTCTCCCTTACGTGCACGCTACATGCAGAATTCAATACCTTCCCCTTCTCAGGCGCCCTTTTGCAAAGGGAGCTGGCCTGAGTCTTTCCGCCTCACCTCTTGGGGCTGTCTCTCTGCATATGATCATTCGGATTAGAAACCAATCATTCCTGCCGCACAGGCCCTTCTACACTTGGACGTGTCCTCCTCGCTGACATTTACGCTCTCTGTTCTCAGGGGTTCCAGATCCACCCACGAATGTTCACCTGTCCGTGGCCAGCAGCACTTCTGTGGAAGTCGTCTTCCAGGAGCCTCTGAGTGTCAACTCGGCTGTGGTCACCAAATACAAAGGTAATGTTGTGGGTCACTAAGGGCAATAGCTCCCCAGCATTTTACCTTGAGGGCCTGCTTGGCTGATTTTTGTCTCCTCTCGGACGGGAAACCCTACCCAGTTGCCTCCTGGAGTGCTCATGAATAGATAGAGATCCACTTTTGTATTGATTTACCATGCACCTTGAGTGTCAACGAGGAAGGCAGGCTATAAAGGAAGCAAACAAATAGTTTTGAAGTTGGCGATGTATGGGCAGCTACCAAAGATGCCGAAAAGAGTGATAGTTAAAAAGAAGTTCAAAAGAACTACATCGTCATAGTCCATTGATGTAAAAATCAGCATTTAACATTTAGTACAGCTGTCTATCACATTATATGGTGGTTTATTGAATGTCAGCTTTTGATTTCATAATGAACAAGCTTCTACCCCTTATGACTGTAGACACAGTTTGAAGATTTCTGTGTTTGCTGTGCCTAAAAGCTCAGAAACTAGATCAAACCTGTGTTGGGGTTCCAGGGGATAGAAGAGAGGACCTCCCCCACCCCCGCTCACCATTTCATGCTTGTGCATTCCCCCAAGTTCCCAGTGATGTGCAAGCCCCAGATCCTGTCCCTCTCTTCCTCTTGTCACTGATTGCGTCCTCCCATCATGGACAACCTATTTCTAATGTTGCATTTGAAGTCACTCTTTAAAACTGAGTTGATGTGTTTTCTCTCCAGTTGCTTAAAATGGTCTATGGAATTGACTGGCAAAAGGTTTCCAGTGGTGGACACTGAAACACATGCGCAGAAAAGTGTGCCATCTCCTTGCCCAGTCCAGCCCTGTTCGCTGAATCCCTCTCCCTGCTTTGCCACCACGTGCCGCTCCGGAGTTTTCGCAGAAAGAGGCTCAACCTTTCCTGAGTAATGTGGTCAGGAAAGAAGTAGGATTGGCTTGTTTTCAGTGTCCAGATGCTGGCGGTTCCACACCGGGCCAAGTCACCTTTCATCCTGGTCATCCCTTCCCCTTCCCAGAGTCCAGCGCCATAACTCTGTCCCCTCTTCCAGTTGCTGTTTGGATCCCATACAAACATGTCCCTTTTTAATTTTAACACCTGCTCCCCTCAGCATAGATTTCCCATCCGTTTAAACCCTGTGCATCCTGTCATCATGTTGGCTTTCAGAAGAATGTTCCTTTTCCCAGTCACCACCAAATCCTGCCCCTTAATCTACTTTGTCTATTTCCCACCAATCCACCCACCCCCTCTCTCTCAACTGCCTTTGTTTGGTCCACCTGTTCTGTGCTGTCTTTTATCTCTGGGTTCATCAGTCTGTCCGTTCATCCATCTCACGAGCCGGCCTTTTGCCTTCCCTGTGTGGACGATGGACGTCTTCTCTGCTGAGTTAGGCAGCGGAGGTCACCCTAGCCAGAGAGGCTTCTTGGTCCGGCAACATGCAGCTATTGCATTGCAAGTTCAAACGGGGGGGGGGGGTGTCCTTTGAATATGGGAAAGGTGTGCCCCGTTGTTGCTCCCTCTTTCAGTTTACACCTCCCCCCCCCCGCAGCTCTTCCGCTCCTTTTTTTTTTTCTCAGACATTTTCCCAGCCTGCACAGCTGGCCTTGCTGTAGCTGGTTCTTCAGTTTCACAGTCAATCCCCTCGCAGCAGCTGGTCCATCCCTGGCAGCCCAGCTCTCTAATCTAGCCCTGTCTGCCTGCCAAGCGCTACCTCCTTCTCCTTGCTGATGAAAGACCCAGGGTTACTGACAGCGTGGCTGTGCTTCTCTCTTTGTTTGCAGTCGAGTGGAGCTGCTCCCCCACCTTCTCCCCGCCGCTGGGAGAGATGGTGATCGACAAGCTGAAAAACCTCCATGTCACCATCCGCGGCCTCGTCTCGGTGAGTGAGTGGCTCCTTCGAAGGCATGGAAAACCCTCCCTCTGCTCTCAGTTGGCTTCTTTTGGGTTGCCCAAACGTAAGGCCGTGCTGCGGTGACCCACTCTGCCCCATCTCGCGTCAGGTCACACGCAGGCATTCAAACGCCATTCCCAGTCTACTTTCCTTAAGGACTACACTCCAGGGATTAGGACTTCCTTGCACACCCCCAGGATTCTCACGGAGGCAAGACTGGTGGCTTGCTTTAGCCCATAAGGATATGGTGCACAGGACTGCTAGCCCTCGCCCTGTGCATGGGCGGGGATTTCTTCTGCTACAGACCCAAGCAGGGAATTGAAGACTCACACACACACACACACACACACACACACACACACACACACACACACACGCACACACACTTCTGTGTCCTCCTCTGCCACGTTCTCCTTTGGACCTTGCATAAGAGCAATCGGCTTGTGCTTCCATCCCGCTACCTGGGGCACAAAGACAAGCTTTACTGCTAGCAAACCCAAATGGTCTGCCCGAGCAGCGGTTCCCAACCTCTTTGACATCGTAACCCACAAGCAATGCTCCCTCTAAGCTGTGGGGTCCTGTGAGCAAAAACTCTACTTTGTGAGCTGCTGGCATTAAAGGTGTGAGCGAGCAATTTGGCTGCTGCACAAATCAGTTTGCTCTGGAGCCCTCCTTCCTGAGCCAAGACAAAAATCTGTGAGCTGGAGGCTAAAAAACTGTGAGCTGGCTCACGCGAACTCAGCTTAGAGGGAACCCTGCCCACAAGTCCAAATTGACATGGCCTGGGTGACTCACTTGAGACAGAAAACAAACAAGCATGTGCAAATCAATGGACCTGCCAAAGCCCAGGACCCAGCTCCTTAGGTTGGGAAATGCTGTGTTAGAGCTGTGCTCGGAAAAGCAGCCCTTCCTCCAGCGCTCCATGGTTGGGGCAGCCAGCCTGCACTGATGGGAAGAAGTTCTTCTCAGGAGGCACGAAGGCAACTAGCCTTTTGGGGTGACTCCCGATGGGAGGGGTTTCTCCCAGTTTCAGCCCTGTGTGGTGATTGGCTTGTCAGAAAGCACAGCAGGTTTTTTTCCCTCCAACAGTCATTGGTGAAGGAGGCCAAGAGGGTGGAGGTACAGAAGCCATAGGTCACAGGGGCCAGTGCTTCCCCAATGGCATGGAGGGAGAGCTCAGTAAGAGGTTGCTTGATGAGGCAGTGTGGGTCCATGGACTGGTTGTGCTTGACCATGTGTTCAGAAGATGCATGTGAATGCCACTGGTTGGGGCATTTGAATGCCACTGGTGAATGCCATTGGTTGTGGCATTTGAGACTGCCGATGGAAGATTGTATGTCCGAATGTTCTCTCTCCAATATAAACAACAAAAAAAACCTTACTTGGATGTATTAAATTAGCACGGGTTCTAGACACTGGTGAATGCCATTGGTTGTGGCATTTGAGACTGCCGATGGAAGATTGTATGTCCGAATGTTCTCTCTCCAATATAAACAACAACAAAAACCTTACTTGGATGTATTAAATTAGCACGGGTTCTAGACGAAGGTTCTCCCAGCTTAGAATCATAGAGTTGGAAGGGACATAAGAACATAAGAGAACATAAGAGATGCCAATGTTGGATCAGGCCAAAGGCCCATCCAGTCCAACACTCTGTATCACACAGTGGCCAGAAATACCAGTGCCATCAGGAGGTCCACCAGTGGGGCCAGGACATTAGAAGCCCTCCCACTGTTGACCCCCCCAAGCACCAAGATGACAGAGCATCACTTGCCCCAGAGTCCCGACCGCTCAGCAATTTCATGGAGTGCCCACGAGTACTTGTATTGTGAGAAAGGGAGAAAAGTACCTCTTTCTCTACCTGCTCTTTCCCATGCATAATCTTATAAACCTCAATCATGTCACCCCTCAGTCGTCGTTTCTCCAAGCTAAAGAGCCCTAAGCGCCCTAAGCGCCTTAACCTCCAGGGTCATCTAGTCCAACCCCCTGTACAATGTAGGAAATTCACAAATGCTTCCCCCCCCACACACACACACCCAGTTACCACTGTTCCATGCCCAGAAGATGACAAAAAACCCTCCAGGATCCCCAGCCAAACTGGCCTGGAGAAAAATTGCTTTCTGGCCCCAAAGTGGCGATCAGCATTTCCCTGGGCTACAGAACAAAGCACTGAGGCAACCCTTCATGCCATCCCTCTCGTGATCTGCCTAAGTTCACACAATCCGCATTGCTGTCAGATAGCCATCTAGCCTCTGTCTGAAAACCTCCGAAGAAGGAGAGCCCACCACCTCCCAAGGAAGCCTGTTCCACTGAGGAATCCCAAAATCACATTTACCTTTTCAGCTATGGCATCACACTGCTGACTCATGTTGAGTGTATGGTCTACTAAGACCCCTAGATCCTTTTCGCACATACTACTGCCAAGGCAAGTCTCCCCCATCCTATAATTATGCATTTGATTTTTCCTACCTAAATGCAGAACTTTACATTTATCCCCATTGAAATTCATTTTATTTGTTTTAGCCCAGTTTTCCAGCCTGTCAAGATCATCCTGTATCCTGACTCCATCTTCTATTTGCTACCCCTCCCAATTTAGTATCATCTGCAAATTTAATAAGCATTCCCTCTATTCCTTGGCAGCTTTGAAATACTTACTATAGGCAAGTATCTGCTTTTTGTGCCAAGCCAAGTAGGATGCTGCAGAGGGTCTTCTGGGTACAAGTACCCCAAAATTGTGGGCAAGGGTGGCACATGCTTTGCAGATGTGTTAAAATGCCTTTAGCTGTTCTTGAGCACAGAAGAGAATTCCAGCGGTCTAAAAGCTAGGGTGGTGCTGAAGCTGGGTACCTCATTTCATGCTCTTTCATAAGTGTTGGGAAATGTTATCTCTTCCTGGTAATTTTGAGCACTCGCAAGCACAATGGTGCCGTTTTAATTTCCTCCCTTGCCATTTCTTCTTTGCCCTTGGCCTCCTCTGCTTCCCCGCTCTCTAATCCTTGTAATCATGACAGCCTGCTTGAATTTTATCGATGACAGCACAATGCTGTGTCTAGCATGATGATGACATGTGTGCTCATGGGTTACCACTGCTTAACTCAATTAAGCAAAATTAATTAAGCAAATGACCTGCAGGGTAGGCAGATGATACCCAGGACTGGCAGGGCAGAGAAGAAGAGAAGTTGAACCCAGAAAGAAGCAACTGCCCAAGGAGCAAAGAGGAGCCAACGCAGCCCTCTCCTACCAGCTCCGCTCAGCAAAGTTTGGAGCCTTCCTCCAACCTAAATGGCTCATCCTCCGTCATCTGCTTTGTGGGGTGAGTGAACCTACGAAGCTGTCGAATCCTGAGCCAGACCACTTATCTCAGCATCGTCTGCTGGGACCTCAGCAGCTCTGTAAGGTCTCCGGAACCGACATCCCAGCTCTGAAGTTGCCAGAGATGGATTGTGGGACATGTTTGCCTGCACAGCACCACTGAGCAATGACCTGTGGGGTTTGGGGTTTCCGTTTACCTCTTCTTATTTTTCAAGCACATGCTGAAATTAGAGAACACTTGGCATAGCCCCTGTGAAGGGAAATGTGCTTGAATCACCACTTTTCACAAAATACAAAGTGCAGCGGTTGTTCCTCGTTCTCTGTGTGGCGAATGGTTGGAACTGCTTTGGACGGTAAAGAGGCGGTACCTTGAGGCAGAAATCTCTGTGTCGCGAAGAAAGCGGAGGAGAAGTATTCACTGAGCCATGTGCTCCGTGGGTTTTGTTCTCTGTGCCATTTCCCCCCCCCCCATTGGCGCTCTTTCTCACCCCCACCCCCAGCCTATAAATCAGAAGCTGGTTCTCCCCCACTGCCACCACCTGCAAAGATCAAACCCTCTCCACCAGCCCCATGGCTAATTGGAGATGAGAACCACTGACTCCCCTCCAGCCTGCAAGTGTATGGAAGTCACGGGCTGCCGGGGGCTGCCCCCTACCCCTGCCGTTTTATTTCTCTGGGAACTACAGGACCCACACTGCCTGTCAGCTGTCCCTTCCCCATTGTGTGGAGGGCAGCGTCCAAGAGTGCAAACAGGACATGCATTTGAAATAAATGGACCTTGGGCTAGCTTGATTTCCACAAGTCTCCCATCTCTTTGCAAGCACGGAAAAGAGGGATGAGATTATTCCCAGTGGAAATGTTTTTGAAGGCAGTTGTGAAATCGCAGCTGATGTATCGCTCAGCAAGATTGTGGGTGGACTCTTAAATGAAATTTTGATTTGGGCCATGAGTTTTTGAAAAAAGCCCTCCTGGAAATATGAACTGGACTGATTGGTACAGTCAAATTGGACCTTTCAGTTTGGATCGTTGAGAGGGTCTCTGGCGTGGCTTAGAGGGCTGTGATCACAGCCCATTCCTTTGCAGTGCAATATTATTTATCCAGGAGCTGAGCAAAAAGAAAATGGCATTTTTTTTAGGCAGTCTATGATGCTGGGTGGTCTTTGGGTTAATTTCCTGCATACCCATTTGGATAACCATAAAGTTAATCTCGCTTGGATTGTGTCTAGAACTGGGCCCTGGGAAGCCATGGTATGAGGTTATCATGTGCCAGGATCTGGAAGTCTCAGACACTGCTGCAGTTTGGTGCCGGTTTGGTGTAGTGGTTAAGTGTGCGGACTCTAATCTGGGAGAACCAGGTTTGATTCCCCACTCCTCCACTTGCACCTGCTGATGGGACCTTGGGTCAGTCACAAGCTCTGGCACAACTGTCCTTGAAAAAGAGCAGTTTGTGTCAGAGTTCTCTGAGCCCCACCCACCTCACAGGGTGTCTGTTGTGGGGAGGGGAAGGGAAAGGCGTTTGTAAGCTGCTCTGAGAATCCAATTTCTTCTTCTTCCTCCTCTTCCTCCTTCCTGCCCCAAACTGAACTCTGCCTTTCATGAGTAATGCAAAATGGAGAGTCCAGCAAGGAGTGTTCCATTTGTGGTAGGAAGGCCACAGCAGGATCTTCGGCCTCCAGACCCTGGCTTGTAGCATTGATGTCATCTCAGCAGACTTCGATCCTTGTACTACTAAAATTGTTTTGGACCAAAAATGGATTCCACAGAGTCTGAAATTAAGTCAGTAATACATCCACAGGTGCCATACTCTTGGAATCCAGTAAAGAATCTGGGTTGTTCTGAAATTCTTTGACTCCAATCTGGACAGAAGGTGTCATCAAAGAGTCATTAGCCTGAAGGAACCCTACAACACTGTGGGCCACAGCAGAAGGTATCACACCTGCTTGGCTTTTCCTTTTGCAGTAGCTGATCATGGAGAGGGCAACTTAAAGCAGCTCTTTACCTGCCTGGGGATGGAGCTCCAGGTTGTCCTCTACCTCTAGTGACTGTTTCTCCCTTGCCCTTTCCCCACAGGGTACTGCTTACTATGTCCAAGTGTTTGCCTACAATATGAAGGGCTGGGGACCTCCTCAAACTTCGATACCACCCTTTGCTATTCCCTCAAGTAAGTGTGAATGCTAAGAAGTGTTATATGTGTCTTGACATTGGTCCTGTAATGCTACTTTACCGGCCTCAAGGTCAGGTGCACCTAGTGGCGCTCTGTGGGTTTCCTTTGGCATCTAGATCCAACAGAACCGCAATTGCTTACACGAAGAAAGAATGTACATCCTTTTTTTGTGTGTGAAAATTGCCTGGTCAAGTGAGAACTATATTCGGGATATTTCAATAAGCAGACGTTTGGGTAAATTGTTTGAATATCATGATGAGAAAATTCACTTTTAATACATTCTGCGATGAAATTCTTCCCCTATTGCACTTTTTGGGAGGGGGAGGAATGTATAAAAAAAGTAGCTCTACGACTTTGTCCTTTTCAGATATTGTCACCTGCACATTACTAAATGTTCTTCCCAAAGTAAAATCACTTACCTCTTACAGTCCCCCACCCGTAAAACCCACTGTGTTTTGCATTGGGGTAGGTTTTTTACAGCAGAAATGTAATGTGTATTGGGGTAAAAAAAATACCCCCTGAGTTTTTCCAGAAAACACCTACCCAGAGAAGCATAAAGTGATATGGAGAGATACAGCCCCTTCCTCCTACACAGAACTTGTGTGAGTTATTCAATACACAGAAAAGGGGAGATGGAATGTAAACCAAATAAATAAAAATCTCATCTCATGTGGAAATGTGTATCTAGATTTGGGTGTTTGAAAGAGGCTCTGGGGCCTCTGAAACATATGGACTTCAACCACCGAAAATATTTTGAGAGAGACATTTCCCTACCCTGAGATAGTTGGGTTGGGGTAGTGAATACATCCCAACTACAATTGTGTAGGTTTGTTCATGGGAACTGTCATGAATGGGCTGTGCCACCAGAGGCCTACTAGGCGCAGGGAGCCTGGCTAGCAGTAGGTGAGGCTGGGCCTTAGGGTTGCCAGGTCTGGGTTGGAAAATACCTGGAGACTTTGGGGCGTGCGGGTCCCCCGGAAGTGATGTTGCACGCTGGGGACGGGGCCACGCCATTTGAGGGGAAAACTCTTTGTTTTCCCCTTAAATGGTGTGGCCCCGCCCCCAGCGTGCGACGTCACTTCTGGGTGACGCGCACGCGGGGGCGGGGTTTTCCCCGGGCCCCGATTCCGCGGGAGCGGAAATCGGGGCTCGAAAGCGGGGGAAATTCCGCCCCCCGGGGGCATTTGGCAGCCCTAATGAGTAGTCTAGTGTCACTTGGAATAGTGAGCTAGGGACAGTATATATTTATATGCGTTAGGACATTTGATTTATTTTATTTTCACCCACTTACTGTTATTATTCTGCACCTTGTTGTTTGACCTCCTATAAAATAAACCTTTTCCTTGTTTCACTCTGCCTGGTTCTCACGCCTGTTATTCAGCCAAAAGGGAGGTCTGAAGGTCTTGGGAGGGTGCTCTGGACCTTCTCAAGGGAGCCTGGAACCAGAGTGGTGGCAGTGTCAGGTGACACCTCACCTGAGTCATGACAGGAACTGTCTCACATGTCCCATTGAATCAGGCTCTCCCTCCCTCCTCTGCTGAGGGCCACATTCAGATAAGGCCTCATGGTCCAAAGAGGGTAGTGGCTGTAAGGAGAACCCATGCTGCCTAGGACTACAAATCCATTCTGAAGAGGTTTGGAGTTGCATTGGAATTACTCTAGATGCTTTGTGCCGTATCTTGGGGCTGAGTAATATCTAATGTAAGCTATAACGTTTGGGCCACATGAGAACATACATGCTGGCTTACTTGCACGTATTAAAGAAAATATTTCTCCCCCCAAATTAAAAAAAATAATAATAACCAACTTTTGTCACGTAAAAGTGTGAGGTACCTCCCTGGGTGTTTTTAAAAGCACCTAAAAATAGCACTAGGCCTCAGCCAAAGTTAATAGAGCTGATCTTTCCATGGAAAACAGCAGCATGGGGAGCGTACAAACCAATTAATGTAAAGTTAATGTAAAAGAGCTGTTCTCCCACACACACACACTTGCCTGTGCTGTTCAGTAGCTCTGCCACCTCATAACTAAGAAGCCTAGGGAAGAGATTCTGTTTATTTGTCGAGGCAAGGTTGAGTCTCATAGTGGGTCTGAAGCAGCTTCAGCCCAGTCGAGGGCTAGTGGACGGGATGAGACTGTGGAAAGACTGAAGAGAGTGCCAACAGACGGACCTTGTTTGTTCACTGTGAGTTGCCATCTCCTCCTGCTGGTGGCAGCTGTTAAATACCATCATCAGAGGTCATTTCAGGAGGGATCGCGGGGGATCGCAGTTCCCCCGGGTGAGGTACGGGGGCGGGGCACATGACGAAGCCCCGCCCCCTGCTTCCGGCCGCCCCGCTTCCGGCCCTCATTCAGCCAGGAGGAGGCAGGAGAAGAGGGAGGGTAAGTTGCTTCCTCCCTGCCTCTCCCC